GGGGACACTTCCCAGTGGCTCCCCTGCAGGCCGTCTCTCTTTCTCTCTAGGCGAGCAAGCAGGAGAGCTCAGAGCGGGAGGGGCCGGCTGGCTGGCTGGCTGGCTGCTGCTGAGGCTTCTGTGGGGACACATCCCAGTGGCTCCCCTGCAGGCCGTCTCTCTTTCTCTCTAGGCGAGCAAGCAGGAGAGCTCAGAGCGGGAGGGGCCGGCTGGCTGGCTGGCTGGCTGCTGCTGAGGCTTCTGCAGTGCAGGTGGCTTCCCTGGTGCTCCCCAGGCCTGCCTTCTGCACCGGGTGATGGGAGCCCCTCTGCCTGGAGCCTCCTTTCTAGCAGATGGAGGCCTTTCCTGGCCCTTACGCGCCTCCCCTGTTCCTGCGACTGACAGGCAAGAAGTGGGAGCCTCGAGCCCCCCTCCCCCCGTGTGGCCTGTCTCAGCGGGCTCTGCTCAGTGCTGCATGCCTGCTTCCTGGGAGTGAGTGCATGAAGAACTGCCACACACACACACAAATGGTCTTCAGAATCACCGCCTGGTGGTGAGCTTGGATGGGCCATGTTTCCCCTTCCTTTGCAGGAAACGTGCAGAAGACCTGTTGCCTTTGCATGGACTGCAGTTCCCGTGATTGCAGCTCCCAGGAGCGTTTTCCTCAGGAGGGGGGGGGCGTTGGTGGAGCTGGAGCAGCCCAGCCTCCAGTCCAGGCTGGCTCCATGCGAGGCCTTAGAGGAGTGCCCCCCCCAGCCTTTTGCTCTTGGGGCAGGGGGGAAACTGAGGGCCGTTCCTGCCGCATTGCATGGCCTTGGACAAACTGCTGCCTCTCAGGGCTAAACAACACCGTTACATTCAGCATGTGATCCCCACAGGGACACCAGCTGCGAGTTCCCTGTGGGAGCTTAATTCTAAAGCACTGCAGGGGCCCAGTTTCGCTCAGGACCACGGGAGGGTCCTTCTTCCACGTGCACTGTTTTCCCAGCTGGAACTGGCTTCCATTTGGCCAGCACTCGAGAGGGGAGAGGACTGAAAATATCTTCCCTCCTCTCCCTTGTGTACGGCCTCAGAGCTCTTGGTCAGTGCACCACTGGAGTACCGAACCAGGCTTCAGAAGAGCTCCCGACTGGCCCTGCTAGCTTTTGGTCCCACCCACAGAACATCCAGGGCAAAGCGGCACACCCTCGCAACAGTGTCTTTGTGTGGGGTGGTCTCAGGCGTCTGGTTGCCTCTCCCCTCCTTTTTCTTCTGACTGGATACATTCACAGCCCTGGGTTGCCATGGCAATTGACACCACCACAGCCCCCCAGGTGACCCCAGCATAGACGTCGTCCGGGGCCACTGGACTCCTGTTTCCCAGCTTCATCGGGAAGGAGGTGGGTCAGGGGGCCTCTCTCCGGGTCTTCAGCCTTGAAGCTGAAAGGTAGCAAAGTATTACACTGGGCCTTCAAGCGGACCACACAGCAGTTTAAATACTCCCTAGAGACACAGAGAACATGGTCTCCTTACATATTCAGTAGTACTAGTGAGGATGTCAGTAGACAGAAACCCTAAACTTTAGCATTCTGCAGTAAAATCAACATCTAAAATATAAACACTGCCCCCAAGCTAACCTATACAACTCGAAGTGTACTTAATTCCCCAGAAGTATTTCTCACAATTGACTGCGTTTTTCAAACCTTTGATTGTGGTGACAATCAAATACCCACCACAACAATTGCAGCTACCAAGTGAAAAAGAGGGTTTGGTATCCCTAACTTAAGGGCCTGTCATAAGGCTTCTGTAGCATCACAAGCAAAATGCTGGCAAGAACCCACACACACACACAGACACACACTTCAGAGTCTGTCTAGCCTCTTTGGATACAAGCAGAAAAGATTTACCCTCTCTGCAGTGGGGGGATGGCATGGGGGGCATTCTATGTAATCCAAATGCAGACTGCCCCACAGGCAACCAGTAGGATCTGAAACAAATTTGACCCACATGTTCATGTGTAATTGATCGTTTGGGGCAATGCTTATATCAAAAT